GGTATTGGCTTTGTCGCCGAAGTCTCTTGTGATGTCTTGGGTGTTTTCGGGGGGCCTCTTGGTGATCTCTTGGGAGCATATTGGGGCCTCTTGGGGCCTCCTGGGCACCTCTCTGAGCCCTCTTCGGGCACCCTTGGGAGCCTCGAGGGCCATCTGGGGCCATCTTGGAAGAGATCAATCAAAGGATTGGGGTTCCTTGATTCGCCCCCCCCCTGGAGGCCAAACGGTGGCCACAACCATAAGAACATCAGTGATGTTTGCCTTCGCGCCGAGGCCTCTTGGGGCGTCTTGGGTGCCTCTCTGCGGGGCCTCTTGGAATTTCTTGGGAGACTCTTGGGGACATCTTGGGGGCCTCTCAGGGGTCTACTGGGCTCTCGGGCCTCGGGGGCCATTTTGGAAGAGATCGATCAAAGAAGGGGGACTCCTTAAGCAGCCCCCCAAGGCAAACACGTGGCGAACACCTTAGTAACATCAGTGCTTTGGGCTCCCTCGCCGAGGCAGTTTTGGACAGTTCAACCGCTCGCGCCCCCCCCCCCCCCTCCAGACCCAGGTGTATGGGGGTAGGGGGAGTGGTCAAGACGCCCTCCCCGCCAGCAAGCTGTCTCTCTCACCCCCACCCGCCCTCCCAACACATGGGTAGCACCTGGGCCTCAGCATCTTCAGCGGTCGTCTACGGATGGGCAGCTACTGGGAACCAATCGAAACCCCATGTGCGCGATGGTGCGTGGTGCGCCACGAATACCAGGCGCTCCAAGTGCGCCAGGCGCTCCTGGGGCCCAAGCGTGCCAGGCACGCCTCGCGCGCCAGGTGCGCCACGTGCTCCACGTGCGCCTTGTGTGCCGCATGGTCCAGCCGCGCCAGGTGCGACACGTGCGAGGCACTCGCAGAGTGTGCCAGGTGCGCCCGCGCACGTGACAGCACACATCGGAAACATACCGGCCCCCACCATCCTTGTCGAAAGCCACTGCGCAATCGCGGCGGAGAGGCCATCATGTTGTCTGGTGGGCCTGCACACACCAGGCAATATGCCAACATCCCCGCGGTCCTTGTGAAGCACTCATGGACAGTGATCGCGAGGTGGCCGCGCATGATCCAGATTTAGCCGCAAAGTGCATGTTGCACGGTTTTTGAAAGGGATGGTAGCCTTGCGCGAAGCAGGCAATACGAGGGCACCCCCGCCGTCCCGGTCAGAACAACAATACACAGTGCTCGCGGGGCCCACGAGCATGACCCAAGATTCTACCTCAACGTGTACTATCATGTTTTGACAGGGATGGGGGGGGCATTGGTCCTGGTTGGCTGCCGGTCGCCTGGGGGAGGGGGTGTCGATTATTAGAGAACGCTGATAGGGGAAGAGGAAAAAATTGACGAGGAAACGCTCTAAACCACTCACGCCCAGAAAGCTTGTGGGATTTCCGCGGACGTGTGTACCTGTAACTCCAAAAAGACGTCATCGTCTTATGCGCAATCGGAGAAAGGAGAGCTGCATATATTGGAGAAGGAGGAAAAGGTGTCGGTTGAGCAAGAGTGTGAGCAGGAGGAACAGGAGGAACAGGAGGATGAGGAATGAGGAGGACGAGGACGAACATCATCAGCAGGAGCTGGAGTGGCAGGAGCGGGAGTGGCAAGGGAAGGCGGATGAGGGGAAAGGAGGGGAGCGACAACGGTGAAGAAGGACTCGGATCCAGAGAAGTGGCCCGCGCTGGGGCGAGAGTGCCACTCTGAACGACGGGGGCAGCGCCCCGCTCCTACACTGGGGCCCACGCTGCAGCGGGAGCACAATTCGGGAGGGATCGAGAACGCTCGCATTGGGAAACGCAAGAAAAATAGCTGGGACCCATCCTGTGTGCGTGGGGTACAACAAAACAATACGCGGATTGACGCGCGCGACTCTTAGGGCGTCCTCGGGGAGAGAGGAGCAGTGATCATATTGCAACATGTTCGAGGAGGAAGGAGGAGGAGGAGGAGGAGGAGGAGGAGGAGGAGGAGGAGGAGGAGGAGGGGGGATAACGAACATCAAGATCATGATGATGCTTCTGATGATAACGATGATAAGGAGGAGCAGGAGGAGGAAGAGGAGGACAGAGTCCTAATGGCTCACTGGCGCCAGAGGGCCCCCAGGAAAAACATGATACTGGCTCCCGTCTGAGCACTATGCATATAATGGGGTGCTTGGGAGAACCACCACTAAATTAGCGGGTCTTGCGGGGACCACTACAGGATGATGATGATGCTGATGATTAGGATGATGATGCTGGTGATGAACATGGTGACGATCATGATGACGACGATGAGGATGGTGGTGATGATGATGTTGACGATGATGTTGTTGCTGTGGTGGTTAGTGATGCTGCTGCTGGTGTTGCTGTTCCTGCTGCTGCTGGTATTGTTGTTGGTGTTGTTGTTGGTGGTGTTGTTGCTGTTGTTGCTGTTGTTGTGGTTGTTGTGGTGTTGTTGTGGTTGTTGTTGCTGTTGTTGCTGTTGTTGTGGTTGTTGTGGTGTTGTTATTGTGGTTGTTGTTGCTGTTGCTGTTGTTGTTGAGTTTAAAGTTAAAAAAGGATACTTATGGTTGATCCCCCCTGCGCGGTAATCAGTTCATCTTTCAATCAAAAAGTTTCTCCCGGGGCTCGGACCCTGTTGTCTACAAGGGAAAGTGAGGTGTCACTAAACTAGGCCTCTGGCCCACGGTTTACAACAGCAGCGGTGCCCGCCTGACCTCTCCTCACGATTTATTCAAAATCGCGCTCCTGCGCGGGACGTCCTCACAATGTATACCGGGACTTCCTAGCAATTTACTCAGACGCCGCGCTCTCGACACTCAGGAATCACGTTCTCGTTGTGGATTTCCTTAGATTTATATGGGGATCGCATTCTCGCTCGAGACTTCCTCGCGATTCATGCAGAGCGCACGCTTCAGCAAACCGCCTGCCCCTTGTCCCTTCCTTACATCCGTCCTCTCTTCCCCTGCCTTACGCGCTGCACGAAATACACGTTGCAGGTAGGAAAGATATACCCCTAAGGGGGTAGGATCAAAGACCAAAAGGGCGGGTATCGAGGGTTTGGGATATACGTGTTGACTGGCGCGCGAACAGGTAAAAGCGAACAGTCTTAAAATGATTGTTGTTGTTGCTGCTGTTGAGTTCTGATGGCGAAAGAATAATTATTGTTGATCCCCCCTGCGCGATAATCATTGTATTTTGTCAAATTACAGTGCTTCTCCTGGGGCTCAAACCTTGTTTCTTGTCAAGGGAAAGCGAAGTGTCTCCGAAGTGGGCCCCTGCCCCCGGTTTACAACAACAGCGGCTCCCGCCTGGTATTTCTTCATAATTTGTTTGTAATTCGCGCTCTCGCGCGGGACCTCTTACAATTTATACCGCAATCGCGCTCTCGCGTGGAACTTCTTGACAATTTATTCATACGCCGCGCCCTCGACACTCAGGAATCACGTTCTCGTTGTTGATTTCCTTAAACTCATGTGGGAATCGCGCTATCTCTCGAGACTTCATCGCGATTCATGCAGAGAGCGCACTTCAGCAACCCGCCTGTTCGACCTGGCCGCCTGGTCCCGCCTTCCCGACCCGCCCGGTAGGGCCTACCCGCCCAATCTGCCCGTCTGGTTCTGCCACTTGTTTTCCGCTCCTAGCCCCCCTCCTGTTATTCTCTCGTGCTCCATCCTCGTCCCTGCCCCTTGTCCCTTCCTTCCATCCTTCCATCCGTCCTCTCTTCCCCTGCCTCAGGGGCTTCACACAATAGATGTAGCAGGTGAGGAAAATATCACCCCAAGTGGGGCACGATCGAAGACGAAGAGGGTGGGTATCGAGGTTTGGATCTATACGTGTTGAATGGTACGCGCGCAGGTAAGAGCGACCAGTCTTAAAATTATTATTGTTGTTGGTGGTGGTGGTGGTGTTGCTGCTGCTGCTGATGATCACGACGACGTCGGTGACGATGAGCATGACGATGACGATGCTCGTTATGATTATGATTATGATGATGGTGGTGATGATGATGATGCTGCTGATGATGATGAGGAGGAGGAGCAGGAGGATCACTGACCAATCTATCAGGTCTACGAGCGGGCCGCCATTTGACAGTCCTTCGGGGCTAACAGGCGTTGTGAACTGGGAGATTGTTAAATGGGGGACGCCCTCCGCTTAAGGACAACCCCACCTCGCCGCTTGTTGCCAGTGGGTGATAGCCAGAGGAATCCCCTGTTAGTCATCCCCTCCTCACTCCGAAAGCACAAGAGTGGCATCGCCTTCAGGGGGTGAGGAGAAATTGCAACGTTCTAGAGTGGTCGGGCGACCCTCACACCCACCTAGTGGTACTCGGATTGGACAAGACCTTGGCCACCACTGAATTATCCCACTACGCCGGACTGCCTCCTTGGCCACGTGGGGGTAGCTAGCCTGTCTGCTACCGTGGTCGAGGGACCATCGAAGTGGGGGAGGGTGCCTGCAGACGCACTGGGACGGAGTGCCTTTTGGACAATTCGGTTTTACATTTTGGGTGGGCCTTGGTCTGTCCGATGGGGCGGGCGAGAGGGGGGAATAGCACAAGTTTGTATGGCCTTGCTGTGCCGCCGACCCTGAAGGCGGGACCTTTCCGAGGACCCCCGCTGGCGCCACCCCCCAGGACCCGCCTGGCCGCCTGGACCCCAGAGGGGGGGCGGCATTCTGACCAGGGTCCACCCTCCCCCACTACAGACGGGACCTCGGCCTTGGTCAGTCCGATGGGGCGGACGAGAGGGGGGAGTGGCACAAATCTATGTTTTCGCAGCAGTCGCATGCAGCTGTTTTGTTTGGCGCCGGCGGCGCCCACCTGGTCGGGGCGGATGATCAGGGGAGAAAAGCAAACGGGGAGGGTCAGCGAATCAATAGCATGCAACTGCTGGTTTTTCTGGCGCCTCCTGGCTCTGGAGCCGCCCCTGGTTAGTCCGTCTGAGATGGAAAATAGCAATGGTCAAATGGGTGTGGGGTTCGCGAACCAAAGGGGATGAGGAGAAGGAGGAGGAGGGGAGGGATCAGCTCGGAGTGCGGGCGTCCATTGCGTGCGCATGGTGCGAAGGCCCTCGCAAGGCTTGTGCAGGGGCTCACGCCAGGGGGCTCAGACACGACTTTTACAACTTGTCGGGCCCTCCGTGATTGGGGGAAGATGGGGCCGCCGTGTGCTGCGCGAGCTGGCCATCGGAGCCTGGTGTCTTGACATTTCGAGAGGAGGACTCGCGGGAAAACAGCCCAAGCCCTTTAAAATCAATACATGTTCTTCCATAGTTGTGTATTGATGTAGTTGTGTGTCTTCGCATATATGATAAACACATTCATCTGTATGTATGTCCCTCCCTCTCCCTCTCCTCCCTCCCGATTTTCCCATCATCTACTAACTATATCTCTCTCTCTCTGTTTGTCTGTCTGTCTGTTTGTCTGTCTGTCTGTCTGCCTGTCTGTCGGTCTGTTTGCTTGTCTGTCTGTCCGTCTGCCTGTCTGCCTGCCTGTCTGTCTGTCTGTCTGCCTGCCTCTGTGTCTCTGTTTCGCTGTCTCTCAATCCCTCATCCCTCTTTCTCTCCGTCCCCTCCCGACCTGCCTCCCTCCGTCCCTCCCCTTCCCTCCCTCCGCAATTACATGATATGAAGATTACTCTCCTATTACTCCTTCTTTCCCGAAGACGTCTTGAGATTGGTGCGCCAGCCTCTCCGCGGTTGGTAGAAGTTCTTCTGCGTTTTGAAATCCGAGCGTTCTTGACACTTCAAAAATGATGATGCCGCTGCAGCGTGGGCCTCATTTTCAGATCGGCGCTTTGCTCCTGTCATTCAGATTGGCTCTCTCGTCCCAGCGCGGGCCACTTTTCTGAATCCGCGTCCTTCCTCACCGTTGTCGCCCCCCTCATTGCCCCTCTTCCTTCGTCCCCTGGTCCTCCTGCCCCTCCCGTTTCTTCCACTCCAGCTCCTGCTGCTGTTATTCGTCCTTGTCCTCCTTCCTCATCCTCCTGTTCCTCCTTATGATCCTCCTGCTCACTGCCACCTCCTCCCTCCTTTTACATTGCACACAGCTCCCGTCATCCGATTGCACATGACACGATGGTGCCATTTCTGGAGTTCCAGGTTCCAGGTTTGCTATGACACGCGTCGACGGATAGGGAAACATCAGCGCAATGGGAGGGATGGAAGGAAGGAGTAGAATGTCAGAAAAGGGGCGAGCGCACCAAGCTCCCCTCCCACCCTCCCTCCATCCCCCCCTCCCCTCCCCCTGCCACTCTCCCCTCTCTCCCTCCCTCCCTCCCTACCTCCCCTCCACCTCCATCCTCCCTCGGCCTCCCTGCAGCACCACGTAATCCTCCTCGCCGGCGCGGAGTACGAGGCGGCGTCCGCAGACAGGCCTCCGCCCCGTCGCGCGCCCCACGCTGGACGCGGAGGACAAACGAGGGGGAGTAGGACCAAGAAAAGGATGAGGGAGGAGGGAGGAGGAGGAGGAGGAGGAGGAGGAGGAGGATGTGGCTGTCAGGCCCCTGTCAGCCTCTCCTCCTCCTGCGCCTCTCTCTGTACTCCTTTGTGCGCCGCCATATCGGCTCACAATGGCCCTTGAGCTATCATGGCGCGCCGGTGACGGACGCGCCCACGCCTCCGTAAAAGGAAAGAAACGTGCTCTCCTCTAGCACCGGCCCCCCTATTTGTACTTCGTGTCTCTCTCTGTATCCATACAATCACTCCCGTACAATCCACAGTGGCAGCGGAGCCTGTGGTTTAGTGACATACTCTTTACTATTCTCCCCTTCTTCCCGTTCTTTACCCGATTGCACCGAGCGCCGCCATGGATTTTCCAGACGACGTTCAGCTTCAATACTATGAACTTCCAGCAGATCCTTGGTTTCAGCCGTATCCGGATCATTGGGCAGGAGCTGGAGGACGAGAGTACGTTCCGTGGGAAGGTGATGACAATGTGGGCTGGTCAGATCAGGATTGGGCCCGCTGGTTATCACAGCCCTGGACGGAAGCACAGTCCAATACGTAACAATCCTCATCTGGTTGAACTGTGCGGGGACGTGGTTCGCCGGCTGCACCAGATCGGCAGAACATGCCTCCGACCTATTGGGGGAATACCACTGCCAGATCTTCTGGTCGCCATCGGGGACAATTGCCTGAACAATCGGAGGCCGCAAATATACCAAACGACCTGCCCACTTGGGATGGAAAATGTCTGGATACTCGTCTAGACCCTTACATGAAGGAGTTGCAGATGTGGCTCGCCATTGCCAGAATTCGGAGAGCGCAATGCGGATGCCTCATGTGTCGTTATGCCAAAAGTGATCTCAATAACATCATTAACTGACTTACCCAGGACTCGCTGTCTGCCGAGGACGGCGGGCAGGTTGTGGTGAAGGACATCCAGAAGGCTTCTGCCGAGTTCCAAGACCGCAGGATGCCGCGGGCTTGTGATAAGCATTTCTATTTAGATGACCAAGCGCTAGCGAGATGAATCCTGGATCAATGAATATCGCGCGTAAGTGGTGCTTTTCCGAGAACTCGAGAAGCAAACAAATCCTGCCAGAGGACCTGAAATGGCACGTGCCGCTGAGAGACTCCAAGTGTAATGACGTCGTGCGACTTTGATTTGGCGCATGAGACGACATGGCTCCAGATGAAGATGAGGCCATCGCCGTGCGAACTACGGTCAGGTACGACAGTACTTACACAAATGCAAGCGTGGACGAGGCTGTTTCAAAGCGCGACCCCCATAAAGAAAGTCCAAAGGCTCCCGAAAGGGAAAACGTCGATGGGGAACGCACGGGACATGCCCGACCGAAGCGGTGGGCCAAACGCGAATATATCAGCCGCTCGAAGTGCGCCCGACGCGGGGGATGGGGCACTGGGCTCGAGCCTGCGCGAACGAGCCAGACGAGCGAGGGCGCGAGCGACATGCGCGATTCGGCGGCTTCCGAGCAGTTCCCCTCGAAGCAGATGATGCTCTGCATGACGCTTGCCAACGAGAACCTACGATCCAGCCTGGAGTCAGCCCCCCCCCCTCTTGGCTTCTGCCGACGCCAGAGGTCAGGTTTTCATGGGGCTTCAGATTCAGATGGGCTTCGATTTGGTGGATGCTGGAGCTCAGCGTGGAGTGCGTGGCGAAGATCAACCGGTGGAAACGGTCACATATCTTGGGGGTGCCTACGGTCTGAAGCCCACGCAGATACCCACTCTGGAACTGGACGCCGTTGGCGTTGGAGGATCTACCAAACTTCTCGCCAGCTGGACATGGCTTTCCTTGTGGCAGAGAACTGTGGTACTCTTGCGGTGCATCTGATTGCCTGCGATGCGCCCTTATTACTCCCTGTGGAGATGCTCCGGCAGCCTGGCGTGGATCCCGATTTGCCAGGTGGCGCTATCACTTGGAAGGCACTCGACGGCAGCCACTTGAGAGCGCGCGAGGTAGGGGCAGGCAAACGCATCGCGATCCCCATGTTGGATTTTTTCCAAGGACGGTTGGCAGAGACAGAAGGACATCAGAACGGTCTCTCCAGGTGCTCAGGGGCGCCGCCAAGTCGCTGAGCCCGAGGGCGCCGTATTCCATGCGAATCCGCAGGCAGCCTCGGCTCAAACCTGTCGTTCTCAGCCAATTGTTTACCCTCCCGACGCTCCGCGCGATGTTGAACCGCGCGGAGCGCATCCTCGCCGAGCAGGAGCCGCGGCCGCGACCTCCGACGCGGCCCTGTCAGCCCACGATGACCCCAGGGAAGCGGACGTAGGAATGGATGCAGCTACGTCTGAAGTTGCCCCCCATCCTGGACCGCGCGGTCACGAGGCGCCGCGCGGAGGTCCGCATCGGGGCCGACGCCTGCGAGAGCCCGCTCGGGGGCGCCGGGGGCCTGGGTCAGGCGGCGGCATCGCCCGCGCAACGCGCGACCCGCGACTTTTCCCGCAAGTTCTGAAGATCAGCGGCGGGGGGCGGTTCGCGGTGGGCGAGAGGCTGGACCCCGACGGCTCGGGCAACAAGAAGACCGACCAGGCCGCGCGCGCGCGCCCAGAGAAGGCCGCGCCCCATCAGGGCAACAACGAGACCCCGTGGTGGACGCGCGACGACTGCCATACGCGCTGGGCGAGGCTCTCGATCGACGGCCCCATCAACGCGGCGGCCCCGACCAGGAACGAGCGACGTCCGGGAGGTTCGCGGGCCACATCTACAAGGAGATCTACGAGATGGATTTCCAGCCCTGCGAGCGGTGAACGAGGACTCACGAGTCGGGCGACCCAGCGATGCATCAACTACTCCAGCGTTTTACCGCGCGCACGGTCGAGCGCGAGATGCGCGGGAACAGCGTGGACGGGGGCGGCTTCGACGCGGTCGTGCGGGGGCGCGACAGCTGATGGATTCGCGGGCAGAAGGTGTCTTCAATGGTCGCATGGTGCATGTCCGAGTGCATCAGGAACCCCGCGACGCCCTCTTCAATCCGACCGATTCCGTCGGCCCCCCATCTGCATATGATTTTACCAGCGAGCGGATGACAGCGGTTGTCTACTCAGATGGCACTGCCGAATTTATTCAGGACGCGTGGTCTGAATTGTCTTCTGTCTGTACTTTGGACGAACGGACTGGCCGTGCTCTCATTTACCGCAAGGCTGTTACCAACATGATGTTCGCTGGAGCGTCGCTGGCAATCATATGTCCTCAGAGCACTTGTCTCTGTCAGGTTGGGCAACTAATTTCTCCGGGTGCTACCCGTGTAAGCCTGGCAGGTCTTGTATGTGGTAAGCGCATGGCCGTGCTTCGAGGCATTCCAGGTGGTTTCTGGCAGTCCGCCACTCCGCAGGATTCGGTCGAAGCGGCCGAGGCGAGCGAGGGAAAATGGCGATTGGTTCTGTGGCAGGCCACCAACGGTATTTAATTTCACTTCATCTTTTGAGTTCGGTGAGGACGGCGCCGGGGCGATTCCCTGGCAACAACAGATCGAGCAGGCACTCTCAGTGAACGACACCAGCCTCAGTCTTACTTCGGAGGCAGCTCCAGAAGAAGACGAGCCCGGATAAATTCCTGCCGGTGATCCCAGCGCCGAGCACGATAGCGAAGATAAGGTGCCCGCTCAGCCAGACTGGGCACCGACTGCCGATCAGCTGGCCGAACTCGAACTTGCCCATGACAACTCTGATCACCCTGGAAATCGAGACTTCGCTCAACTTCTGAGACGGGGAAATTCAAAGCCTGAGGTCGTGCGCTAGGCATTGAACAACTTTAAGTGCGACGAGTGCGGCGCG